TTATAAATGAGATAGAAAATCAATTAGAGAATAGTGTGATTACCTTGCTATAGGGATCACCCAGTTCAGACTAGCTAGCTTAATTTTATAATAGACTCAATCAACAATGCTTCATGATGCCTTCAGTTCCATTTAATAGTACATAAGTAGAATTATAGGTGGACTTACTAAAAATCCAAGGTTGAAGTTTGGCAAAGAAGGATTGGTGATAGGACAAGAGAGCACAGGATTCAAGAGTAAAGGATAGTAGAGAGTTGAACTGTTTCACCAACAGATCACGATTCGCAAAGGGGAGAGTATAGTCAGAGCAGGATGAAAGCCTGATAAAGTATCAAGAAATTTGGGGATTTGAAGTCACAGTGAAGACAGAGAATAGGTTTAGGAGGAATGAGGCATACAGATGGAAAGTTAAAAGATTATGATCAAATAGAGGAAATTCAAAGTTCTTGAATGTAGAAGTGGAATATTTGTGAATGATGGTAATAAGAAGGATACAATCATATCTGTGAGGCTGACATGGAGTAGGTCATGGAAATTGAATACACCGAGGAACCAAGAAGTTAGAGAAGTCGAGGAGACATCAAGTATTAGGTGATAAATTTTGAGTGAGTCCATCTCAAAGGAGGAGAAGTTGCTGAGTGAGATTCTGGAAATAAGAGAAAAATCTGAAAATGTCAATAAGAAACACGGAGTATTACAACTCCACCTCTACCAGCGAGTCCAAGTAATAAAGTTAAAGTGCAACCAGTAATGGAAAAGAATGTAGCGTAGAGGGAGCCAAAACACAAAAGGAATTTTAAAAAATAAGAAGTTTAGATGAAAGCAAAATTATTAATTATGGATCAGGAAGATGTGAATGGAACACTGAGTAGTTAAGGTTGGGGGAGCGGGACAGATGAGGTTGGGGAGAGAAGTTTGTTCTTTGACAGCTGTGGGTTTAGTATCACTGGGATAAGCAGGTGGAGGAGAGCAGGCTAATGAAGATGAGCCCAAGCAAAGGAACAAGGAAATCAGCAGTGTAAACAGAAGATTTACGGTCAATGATTTGTACTGGCACAACACTTAACTTGCCCCACCTGCCCTGCTGCTGTGAATTGAAGTGAGCCTGATGGTGATTCACCCTAGATTCCTTGAACAGTTGGGAAACTTCTTACATAAGGAGGTGAGGAGTGTTTTGTCAAAGTTCAGAATTCCCTCACACCAGGTTTTTTCAAGAAGGGAAATAGTTTGATCCCTCCCAGAGCTATTTATGCTTCCCTCCCTATTCAACTACCTTATAATACTCATCTGTGTACATATTGTATAACATTGCCTCTTACTTTACTGAGAAAATATATAGTTTGTGAGCTCCTTTAACTCTTCTTTTCCACATCTCAAAAATCCCTCTATATTTTCATTTATCCTGTTTAGTTCAACTTTCACAGGATGAGAAAGCACTTCTTACCAAGGCAAATCTTTTTTTATTTTCCCCTTGATTCCATCTCTTATTTTCTCCCAGAGCATATTCTACTGATCGTTCATTCTCTCTTCTAAATCAATTCTTTCCTTGTGACCTACAAACATTCCTGGGTCTCTTCAATCCTTAAAAAAATTTTAACTTGGCCTACCTATCCTTTATCTCTTTTTCTTTTCACTGCTAAATTCCTAGGAGGGTGGTCTATGCTTGCTGCCTTCTCACCAACCTACTCACTCTCTGAACCCTCAAAATCTAGCTTCTGTCCTCACCACTCTATTAAAACTACTCTTTCAAAAGGTAACCAATGGTAATTAGTAAATTTCCTACCAGAAAAACTGGTGACCTTTTCAATCATCCTTGCTCTTTGGAAGCTTTTGATAATAATGTCGACTATCTCCTCTTCCTGATTATTCTTTTCTCCTTTGACTTTCATGATCTTGCCCTCTTCTAGTCTCTGACGGCTCTTTCCCAGTCTCTTTTGCGGGGTCATCATCTATCTCCCACCACCTAAATTTTAATTTCCCAAAAACCTCTTGTCTTAGGTCCTCTTTTCTTCTCTCTGCACTCTCTCCCCTGGGTGATGTCATTCATCCTCAAGCATTCATTTATCTCTACAAAGATAACTCACATCAAACCTGAATCCCTCTCCTGAACTCCAGCTCTGCTGCATCTCCAACTACCTTTACTTGGCTATGCTAACATCTTAAAATTCAACTCCATGAATCTTCCCCAACCCATGACACCTCTAAACCTCCCTATTTCTGCCATCACACCACCATTTCCCAGGTCTGAAACCCGAGTCATCTCTGACTTTTCTCTCTTACAAACACCCTATCTAGTCAAGTATCAAGTTTTGTCAATTCTACTACATTTCTTACATCCATTCCTTTCTCTCTATTCCCACTGCCACTGCCTTGGTTCAAGCCCACATCATCAGGCACCTGGGCTATTGTAAATTTACAGATTATCTTCCTGTCTTGAGACTCCCCCCTCTAATTCATTCTTCATGCAGCTGCCCAAAATATGCAGTATTAGTTCCCTGCTCAAAAACTTTCAGTAGCTCCTTATTACCTAACACAAAATTAGAATTCCTCAGCCTTGCTCCAACCTACTATCCAGGCTAATTCATATTAGTTCGGGAACTCAATATATCAGCCAAAATGGACTACTATATACTCTCCCAACTTGACAGACCCTCTTCCAAGCTGTACGCTGCACACACCTGTAAGGGGTTCCCCTCCTCATTTCTGTCATTCATAATACTTCTCTCCCTTCAAAATTTAACTCCTCAGTGTAGGTTTCTCTAATTCCCTCAGCTGAGAGTTTTGTATCTTTATTCAAATGTTGCTAAAGTATGTTGTCTGGGTATCTCTTTTGCTTCTATCACTTCCTGCCTTCTATTATACCTATCTGTGTACCTGCAAAATACACTCTAATAGACTAGAATTTTCTCAGGAGAAAAGATTTCCCATCTGGCTGATCTCCTGGACTTCATTAATGTCTATCTCCCTTAATTCATCTTCCTGCAAGTTTGCATCAACTCTGACCCTTCCTTCCTTCAGACTGGAGAGAGAAGAGGGGAGTACCTCCCAATTCTTTATTTAAGGAAAGTCTAGTGCAGCCATCTCATCAATTCCTACCCAGCTCCCATTAGGAATTTATAATTTCCTCACCCTTCCCAATCTTTTCAGTTTATTTTTCTGTGTCTTCTCCCATTAGATTGTGAATTCCTTGAGGGCAGGAACTATGTTTTGCCTTTCTTTGTATCCCCATAGCTTAGCACATAGTGCCTGGCACATAATAGGCACTTAATAAATGTTGATTGGCTGACTGACTGGATTGATGATTGTTTTTTGCATCTTCAGCACTGGAGCAGTGCCTCATATATAACAGGGGCTTAATAAATACATGTTGAACTGAGTTCAAATTTTTTTTGATTCTCAATATTCTCTCTATTAAATAAAGAAGGCATAGATGTTTCATCCAAGTATATAGCTGCTCACTGTAAAGCAGCCACTGGGGATTAATTTCCCTCTTCTTCCATCTCCAATCCTCTCACAATGACTGCTCCATCCTGAACCCTTTCCTCATCAGCAAGCTCTCAACCTTGGGTTTACTACTGCCAACAGTGATGGAAGGGGCACTGGTACCCAAGGGGCACTGGCCCCATAGACCTTTTACATCTCCATGCAGCAATAGCAGCAGCAACAGCACAACCACTCAGGCCAGTGTTAAGCCTACAAGACTGGGTGCTGGAGTAAGGCACCACAAGTAAAGACAGCCGAGCTATGGCCTATAGAGGCTGCTACTAAACAGCTGGCTGAGGGAAGGGTTGAAGAAGCCCAAGGAAGTCTTGGGAGAGGAAGGAAGTCTAAAAAACATCTCTGGCTTTTTGGGCTTAGCCTCTCCGGAAGCAGGTTGTTTCTACTCTAAATAAAACCTCCTACCCTTTTCTGTAATCTTCCATACCTGAAAACTTTCATTCCCTATGCCTGGACAGCTAAAGCTTCGATGACCAATCCCCAGTATCTCCCAACCTGTGCTGTCAGAGATGGTAACCCAACCAAGCAATACAGAGAAAGAACTTGTCCCCTTCATATAAAACCTATGGCCCTCTCTGCATGACCCACTCTGCAGTTGCTATGGTTAAGGTCCTGATATGGAGTACAGTTTGGCATACTGCTCCCATGTGTCCTTCCCTTGATGCACCTGACCCCATGTTCCCAGTCCAAGGTAATAGTAATATTGGCTAGCATTTACATAGCACTTTAAAATTTGTAAAACACTTTACTAATATCATCTCAATTCATCCTCATAACAACCCTAGGAAGTAGGTGCAATTATTATTATCCCCATTTTACAGATGAGGAAACTGAGGCAAACAGAGGTCAAATTAACTGCCTATGGGAAGACAGTTTGCAAGTATCTAAGGCTGGATTTGAATTCAGGGCTTCCTGACTCCAAATCCAGAATCTATCCACTGTACCACCCAGCTGTTTTTAAGCCTTCCTTTGCATGAGATTTAAAAAAAAAACAACATGCAGAAATAAAGGCTTACTGCTTTAAGCATTTACTATCCAAGGGTGGGGAACCTGTAGCCTCAAGGCCACCTGTGGCCTTCTAGGTCCTTGGGTGTGGCCTTTTGACTTTTTTACAGAACAAATCCTTTTATTAAGGGGATTTGTTCTGTGAAGTTTAGATTTAGTCAAAGAGCCACACTTGAGGACATACAGGGCCACAGGTGGCCTGGAGGCCACAGATTCTCCACCCCTGTAACTAGTCTGTCTGATTCTTTGGGAGAAAACTCATCAAGTCTCCAGATGATAGCAATGAATGAGACATGTCCAAATTAGATCTCTTTGCCACACAGATTATACAGACATTTATTACTCTTAATAATTTATCACAAAATTCAGTGCAAAATTCCATGGATATAAAACAGTTGTTTTCAATATTTTAAATTTCCATTTCAGAACAACTGATTAATTATATTAACCTTTTCTCTGCATGTTGGTCTTTGACAAATGACCTTAAAACTAAAGTAGAAAGTTTACGTCTTTATTAATTCTTTTTTTCCTCTTCCAAAAGTTCAAATTCAGTTTTGAAAAGGACAATATTTGCTATAAGTTCTTAAAATGTACAAGTAGACTAGTTTTACTACTACACATCTATAACTCACTAAGTCTTCCATACATTATCTCAGCTGATCTTCATAACAACCCTAAAAAATTAGACAGAGTAAATATTATTATACTCATTTTATAAACCAAGATGTTGGATCAGAGAAGGTAAAGTGAGTTCTCCTAGTTTACACAACTATAACTAGAAGACCCAGATCTTTTGACTACTAAGCTGCTTTTTTTTTTTACTATATTCTGTTGCCTCTATAACATAATTTACCTTAAAATTAGTTTTCAAAAGAGTTCATTGGGATTTCAAAATTCATTGTCATGTCATTTTTTCTTCTCTGGATATTCATAGCTCTCCCATTCTTGCCAACCTCCAGGATAGTGCCGAGCGCTGAAAATAGACATGGAACAATTAATACTATTAATATTGTTATTAAAAAATAATACTGGTGGGAGAGAAATGACATATAACTATTTACCACTTACCTTTTACATCTCAAAGACTAATAGGCTTTTAACTTGTGGTAAATCATACTTACATGATGAAATGATAACTGCATAAATTAAAAAGTAAATCTTTACCCATGATACATTGCTAAAATAATTAATCATAGGAAAGCTAAAAAGTATGTAAATTCCAGTTGAAAATGACTTCATCAGAAACTTTGAATTGAGTCAGTTCTGCTACATAATCTGCTTACCTTTCATAACCCAATGATAAAGCAGTATTTAGAGCTTTCTTGCTTCTCACTCCTCCTAGACAAGAGAACACCAGGCTGTCAGACTTAGAAGGCATATCTTGATTGTACTTCTCTTTAAAGTCCTCTGAATCCATTTGTAGAGCTTGACCTATTTCACCCACTGAAAGAAAACATTTAAAAATTCAAAATGAGTTATACGGATAACTTGTAATGTGAAAATATCATACAGAATGTCTGCAAGGTCTTAGTGCAGTTTAAAGGTTAAAAACTGCACTAAGACCTTTGGAATACCCTGGTATTAAGTATGTTATAATTAATTTTAAGGAAGGCAACACTTACATGGTATATTGAAAAACCCTGGAATTTTTCCATATTCTAGAACTTCCCATGGCTCCCTAACATCAATCAACAAATTGGATTTGGAATGTAGCAATTTTTTCAGTTCTTTGTAGGTGACACTCTGAGAAGCAGCAGTACAGAAATTATGGTAGACTTCTTCTGATGATCTCAACTCTAAAAAAATTCGCAAAATATAAGTTATTCCAGAATCTTAGGCATTGTGGTAATGATATCATTAAATGGAGAATCTGACTATAAGAAAAGAATCAATGGCTTTTCAGCTAACTAAAGGGAAAAGGATTCCTTATAATATATGGTGTAAAGTGAAATATTCATCTATAAAACGTCTTTGGTTGGGATGCATCTCAGACCAGTAATTTCTTAAGTTTAGGGTACTCCAACTGAAGGAACTGTTTGAATTGAGGCAGATCAGAAACTTGTCCTTAATTTATAATCTTAGAAATCTGCCCAAGGTCAAATTGTCCATGGTCACAAAGCTAATGTATAACAGAAAAAGGACTTGTCTCCAACTTTTCCTGGCTCTGAGGTCAACCCTTTATCCATTACACCATTCTGCCTCTCTAATAAAAATGGTAAAATAAATTTTAATTGGGTATTGATATAATACGTAATCCCATCCAGAATGGGCTCATTTTCCCCTTGAACTTAACTTTGGTTCTTAATATTGCTGTTCTGAGTCTAGTGGAATGTTAAAACTATGAAATGATGAAAATTAAAATGTTAAACATAATCACCACTTTCAAAAGGGGAAATTTTCTATCTCTTAAAATTAGACCTCTAAATCCATAGGACAGTTCTTCAAACACCTAATCCAGTTTTCCTCTAAACAAACCACAGGACTAAATCTTTACACCTTATTTTAAAGTATGGTAGGAGAAATCCTAACCCCACATCCATGTAAATTAGTCTGATTTTTCCTTTAAAAGTACTGAAACTTTTCATGAGAGTTGATTGGCTGAAGGGACTAAAAGTTTAATCTGTTGATATCACTTCCTGGTGGCTTAAATACAAAAACATCCATGAGGGACTCTAGCCTCACTCTGAGATTTGACTGGAAGACCACCATCAGAAACTCAACAGGCAGGGGTGTTTCAGTCAACTAAATCATCTTGAAGTGTCTTTGATGTATATCCTTGTTGAATATCTTTCCCTATGAGCATCTCATTTCATTTCCAATATGGACACTAAACTACAAAGGGACTGGCTGGAGTAAGGTGAATCAGTCAGAACAAATGAGTTTTAGGCACAAAGATTATCCCTATTTATCACTGCCAGGGCACTTAAATTCCAAAGCTTCAGTTCCCTATCTGTAAAATGGGGGTAATAACACCTACATATACAATCTTAAAGAGTTGTCAGACTCAAACTAAATAATGTATGATATGCAGATCCAGGGAGATAAATGTATATATAGCACTTTGTAAACCTTAAAGTGCTACATAAATATGAAATGCTATTATTCCCTCTTGAAGTAATAGTAAGAAACTTTTTGCAGCCTTCATTTAGGCTCTCAGTAGGCATTGAATCCAGAAACGTACTGTCTTGAGCCTCATCAGTAAACCTAGAGATTGATCCCTGGTTAGGGGCAGCTAGGTGATGCAGTGGATAGAGTACCGGTCCTGAAGTCAAGAGGACCTGAGTTCAAATTTGGCCTCAAACCAAACTTGACACTTATTAGCTGTGTGACCCTGGGCAAGTCACTTAACCCCAAATGCCAAAAGAAAAGAGATTGATCCCTGGTTGAGGTGGCCTCTTTAAAGCCTAGTATCATTAACAGTCATGTGAGAATCAGTGGGCAGAAATGTTCTTTTGACAGAGAGAAGCTATCATTTCAAATAGTATAAAATAGGGCTGTGCTCCCTTCCTTATAACTTATATTTAAATATAACTAGCAACTACTGTCAGATGAATTGGATATATACCCTCTAAGCCTCAAGCAGGAAGATAAGCTGAGGACTAAGTTTTGTTATCTAGAACTAAGAGCAAGTTCTTTAAAAAGAGCTAAATTTAGTTTCCCACCCACTAATGAAATCACTGATACAAGAAAAAAACTAAACAAATAAAAAATACGCTTGTTGGTTAATTATTGTCAGCAGCAGTAACTTAGCACTAAAATGTATCTCTATCTCATTTGGTCCTCTTGATAACCTGTGCATTATGGAGAGTGGCTATCATTATTTCTAAGTTCCCTTTTTTATCTATGGTTCTATTTTTAAATCATGGCTAGTTCAATGCAAGGGAAGTTTTAGAAGTCATTCTGGGTAAAGTAAGTCTTGGAAACAACTAAGATTTAAAACCATTATGATCTTCCAGCAATGTCATTTGTTATCAAAGAGTCCATCTGTCATCTGTAGCACTGAAAGGCTGACTGGTCTCTTGCAGAAAGGTGTTCCTAATCTTAAATGTTTTACCTTCCCATAAGGTGGGCTCTTGTGACTAAAAAAGAAAGCACACTATGCAAATACCCCCTCCAGGTCAATATGACTTGATCCTCCAAATTATTCTTGTTATTTGATGACTGAGGAGGTAAGGTTAGGGAATGGAATGGAAAAGCATTAAATGCTTATTATGTGCCAAGCACTAGGTAAACAAATATAAAATCAAGATAGCTCACATTCAAATGGGAAGAGACAACATACAAAGAAGGGCTCATTTCATGTACAGTTCATGGCAGAAAGGCCAGATAGTACTTGGGTTCTAGTGGGGAAAGTATCAGAGCAGATGACAAGACCCCAGCATACTACTTTCAGATGAATCAGGAGATCTAGGGGTCAGCACCTAGCTGATAGTGGACATCCTATACATGGTGAGAATTGGGCAATGGGGCAATAAACGTTGGATTATAATCTCCCAATGTGTGCTTTTAGTTGTAGAATTATGTTCATGATTCAATTCAAGGTTATAACCTCTGTGATGTTCTGGGAAAATACTTGCCTTACAGGTAGAATGATTTGAAAAATTAAAAGATGTGATATTGGCTCGAGCCAAAGTAAAGTACAAGAATCTAGTGAAGTTTTCTAAAATCCAGACCCCCACCTGACTTTTTCCCCTACTTGAATTAAAATAGGATAGTGTATGTTTATTTTCTATAGGAAGATTCATTTTCATTAAAATTATTCCATAATTTCTTATGAATCATGTGGGTATAAAGAACCAGTCATGCCAAATCTGCACTTGCCATACAGTTCAAAGAATTCTTCATCATTTAAAAAAATATATGAAATTAAAACAAAAATATAGTTCATAAGTTTCAAAGTTCAAGTTCTCCTAAAATTATTTTTTTTCATAACACAACACTGATGGTGCTTTGATCTGTATACTCTACCTGCACAAATCAATGGGACTCACAGAGCTTAAGTATTCATGTTTGCTGATGCCTGTTGCCTAGCATTAACGTTAGTTGAAAGAAGATTGATCTCTTTTTAAAAACAGAATAATGTTGAAAATTCATTTGTGTAATTTCAATATAATAGCTAATATTTATATAGCATTCACTATGCTAAGTGCTTTACAAAGGTTATCTCATTTGATCTTCACAACAACCCTGGGATAGGTGTTACTAATTATCCCCATTTTGCAGTTGAGGAAACTGAAGCTGGCAGAGGTTAAGTGACTTGCCCAGAATCACACAGCTAGTAAATATCTGAAACAGAATTGGAGCTCAGGTGTTACTGACTCCAAGCCCAACCCTCTAACCACTGTGCCCCCTAGCTGCCAATATTATAACAAGAAATAATTGTACATCTAAAAAGCTTTAGGAGCAATTAGTAGGATAGTATTTTCTTTTCAGAATAGATGTGACATTTCATCGATATAAGGAACTCTAATGATGAAGAATGCCTCGGTCTAGGTCTATGCAAATCAGCATCTGCTGTGCAACTTACAGTCATAGAACTAATGCATGTCAGAGATAAGCCATGAATCCAGGACCCACCCAATTCCTAGGTCAGTTCTTGATCCACTATGCCATGCTGTTTCCAGGATAGCATATATGTAATAATTAATCAATCAACAAGTACCTATTAATCACCTACTTATGTGCCAAGCACTGTACTTCCTGGCGTCAGGAAGAACAGAGTTCAAATCCAGCCTCAGATATTTGCTGGCTATGTGACCCTGGGCAATTATTTCTAAAATAAATAAATACCAGATAATTTGGGGAGGTAGGGGCAATCAGGAAAGACTTCACATACAGAGGGTGGCCCTGTCCTGAGTTTTAGAGGGAATGATGAATTCTAGAAGGCAGAGATAAAGTTCCAAATTCTAGGCCTGGGAGATGGGATTCTCCAGCAATTAATCATTTTGACAAAAACCAGTTCAGACTTGACTTGTCCTTTCAGATAACTTGATTTATTCACCCAAGCCCTTATAACAACAACAGAAAATTTCCTTCCTCTTTCTCCCCAAATAAACTCTTCCCCATCTTAAACATTGATATTTGGCAAGTGAAAACATGAAAAATTGCTTTCCCAAAGCACATACCCAAGAAAATTCTGCCTACTTAGGCAGGTAAAATTTAAACGATTCTGGCAAGCAGTCTCTAGATGCAATCAACCACTGCACTGTTACAGAAAAATACAGGATCTGGGTTTGAAGAATCCAGATTCCTGTCCCAACTCTGCTGCTTACTACTTACATGAACTGGGGCACTTCACATTAATTTCTGTTTCCTCATCTGTAAAATGAAAGAGGCTGGTCTACATGGTCTTTCTAGCTCTAAATCTATAATCCAATGACCAGTAATTATAGACCCATAAGATCATGAGAGACTGATACAGCAGTGCTTCTGGCAACACTGGAAAAAAGATACTCAATTGCCACTGTAATTACATCCGGTAGTCCAAGTCAACCAAGAATTCAACAAAGAAAAGATAGGACTCGACCTGGAGCCAAGTTATCTTAAACTGGGGAGATAGAAAGTACCTAAAACTGAGCTCCCCAGCTCTGCCGATGGCATGCTCAAACGTAAGTTAGTCAAAAAGGGGGGTCAGTTTGCTATGAGTTGAGGCCAAGGCCACGAGCAATGGCGAAGGCAATTTTTTCGGCGCCCAGAATTTACCCTGTATGCACTAACGACAAGCTGAGGCCTCAGCATTTTATTTATCCTTTTCCACTATCCACTGTGGGCATCCCTGGAGCGATCCCCCGATCCCGGGGATTCCGCCCACTTGGCTAGAGATACGAAGAAAGCTGAGGGTCTCTTCCTGTTTTTGAAGCCAAATCCACGACCTCCCCTGGGTCCCGAATTTGTGGGTCCATCTTCTGGTCCTCAGCTTTCACTTCCCGAATAGGAGCATGAAGTGTGTACTCACCCTTCCAGGCAGCCGCTGACCCGGGGGCTATCCCTGGCCCCAGAAAACAGCGAGAGGAGGCTCCCCAAACTCTCGAGCCCCAGGCAGCCCTGACCGCGCTCCCCAACTGCAGCAGCGCTCTCGGGGACATGGCCATGGGCCGTCTCCTCCGCGCAGTTCACACTGCCCTCCCCCGCGCGCGCTCTGCCCGGCTCTGCCTGTTCTCCTCAGCCCACAGTATCTCTAAACCGAGCAGCTTCAGCAGGCACGCTCAGCCGACCTACCCGGCTCAGCTCACGCTTTAAGAGGCGGTGCCACCCTTTCTCTCCACTCAGCGTTTACCGCCCAGAGCCCCGCCCAGGGGCGAGGCTGGGTGTCTTCCTAGTTATTTTATTTTATTGATGCTTGCCTTTTTTTTTTTTAATAGTATAGATTCCTTAAGCTAGAGCCGAAAGCAACCTCAGAGGCCATCTAATCCAACTTTCCTCTTTACAGATCAGGAAACTGAGGTCCACGGTGGTTGAGTGATTTGCCCTAGGTAATACAAATGGTGAGCAAAAAAGGTGGGATTCAAACCCAGGTCCTCAGACTCCAAAATCAGTGTTATTTTATTTGATATTTTATACTTGCATAAATCAATTGACAGGAACATTTCAATATGCAAAGAACAACAGGAAAGGGATTGTACATATGAAACTATAAATTCTCCATTGGATCATTTTTTTATATATGGTTGTTGATAGTTCACTTTCTCCACTTCAACACTGCCTGTACCTATCCTTTGACCATTTATCAACTGGGGAATGACTTTTGTTCTTATATATTTAAATCAATTTCCTATATCTATATTGGGATATAACAACTTTACCAGAGAAGGTTTCCCTTTAACTGTTTCACTTCTAATTTTGTCTGCATTAATTTGATTTGTGCATAAACTTTTCCATTTTATTTATTCAAAATGGTCCATTTTGTTTCCTGTGATCTTCTCTAACTTCTATTTGGTCAAGAACTCTTTTTCCTATCCATAGTTGTGAAAAGTATCTCTCTGTGCTTAAATTTATATGACTCTATCTCCAGCTATATGTATCCATTGGGAGATTTCTGTGATGTATGATGTGAGATGTTCTAAACCTAATTTCTACCAGACTGCTTTCCAATTTTCCCAGCATTTTTTAAATAATGAGTCCATACCCCTTACATTTAGAGTCCTTGTTTGTTTGTTTTTTTAACATGCTGCTGCTGTACCTCTTTTTGTAGTGGCAAAGAACTAGAAACTTAAGGGAGTGCCTGTCAACTGGGGAACAGTTAAACAAATAATGGTATATAAAGGTAATAAAATACTATTGTGCTCTAAGAAATGATAAAGGGGACTGTTTCAGAGAAATTGGGGAAACTTGCATGAATTGATGGGACGTGAAGAGACTATACTCAGGAAAACAATAGTTTCAATCCTTCCAATTCCTTCTACTCCAAGCAAACTTCAGGTCTCTGTCAAGGTAAGATGTCATATGTATTGCATATCTTCTGGAACAGTAGTAGCTTTGGATTGGTCCACCTCAGCCCCATCCCCTATTGCCATGGCTTCTACCCCTGAGGTCTGGTGTTCAGACGGGACCAACTTTCTGAAGACTTTGCCCATCCAGAAACCTGTGAGAAACCTGGCAGAGGCCAAGCAGCTACCCTTTGCTGCTATGCTCATTTGCTTCTGGATCTTGTGTACCTAATCTATTCTGCTGATCAACTTTTTAAAAAAATTTTTTTAACAAGGACCAAATAGTTTTGATAATTACTGCTTTAGAGTGTAATTGGAAACCTGGTACTGTAGGACCAGTTTCCTTCCCTCTTTTTTTTCTTTTCTTTTTTTTTTCTTTTTCTTTTTTTTTTTTTTTTTGCTTATTTTCAAGGATGTGCTGAAGCCAGTTCCAATACGCTTGTGAGAGCCAAATGTTAAATATTCAGTGTGAACACAAATGCCTCAGAAATCAGTAAACTAGAAATCAGGGCTCGATTTGTTGTTTTGTTGATTGTCTAGCCTTACAAAAGTGATGGCAAAACTATTAAATAATGCAGATTAAGCTCAAAACTGTATGTTAAGATTTTTTTTCAGAAAGCCAGTTGTCAAACATTTACCAGCATACCCCTGCTTATTTTCCTTAAATTTTTTGACCCTTAGTTCTTCCAGATAGATTTTATTATTTTTTTAGTTCTTTAATGTCATCTTTTGGTAGTACAATTGGTATAGCTCACTCATTTTATATATTCTGTTGTTATTTTGGATGTAATTTCTTTTTCTATCACATCTTGCTGTATTTTGTGGGTAACAGACAGCAAAGCTGATTTTTTTGGTAGGCTTATTTTATATCCTTTAACTTTGCTGAAATTATGAATAATTGGTTCAGTTACTGAAAAAAAAAAATGAGTCTCCCTGTCTCACCCAGGATGGATATGCAGAGCCACTGACAGCCCAAATCCCACTCTGATCTACATGGGAGCTTTGACGTGCTCAGTTTCCCATCTAAACCCATTCACCCTTCCTTTAACAACCTGGTAGCCTCTCTGCCTTGAGGCGCTCTACATTATGCTGAGACAAATAGGAACTAGGTCCAGTGGGATCAGCATAATGATATCAGAAGAGATTGACAGTCCTGTAGTATTGGAAGCATGTGGAAACACGTGGAAGATTTGCCCTACATGTGTACCTTTGCCACATGTGTTCTTTATAAGTGAAGTCCTCTGTAGGAATACGCTTTACATATATGCTCTTTGAATATGTCCATTCTTCCCACTGATGATGTGTTTTTAAGAGTATGCCCCAGGTTTTGGGGGGAGATGCTTTACTACTACTTTCTTTACTTTATTATTTCATTATAAGCCTTTCCATTGAACTAATTGTGCACCCTAGAAGACTAGTAAAGGAGAATACATTAGTGGGGGTTTGTCTGCTAGGGATATAAGTTAAAATATATACCCAGAGTATTTTGAACCTCAGGTACCCTTTCCTGGGAAATCCAATGTGCTATTTGGGGAATGACTCCAAATTCTACACATGATATGTCAAGAGCTTAGTGCAGTGAAAGACCTCTGTTATTCGCTACCTATAAGAATTTATGGAAGTCATTCTTTAGGCCCCAGATTCCACATCTGTAAAATGAGGGGACTGAATTAAGTTATTTCAAAGGTCCCTTCCATCTCTGAATATATGACCTAACAGAGGGGTTCTTAACTTTTTTTTGTGATAGAGACACCTTTGGCAATCTGAAGAAGCCTATGGATCCTGGCTCAATATAATGTTTTTGGAGGAATAAAATAAAATACATAGGATTACAAAAGAAACAAGTTATAGGGAAATAATTATGTAGTTTTACTCATCCAAGTTCACAGATCCCTTAAAATCTCACTGTGGATTCCAGATTAAGAACCCTTGAAGATCCCTAGCACAGTGAACAGACCTCCTCTAGAAGATTTATGGGAGGATCAAGTATGGACAGATTGTGATCTGCCTCATTTTAAAGAGTATTATATCCATGAAATCATAGGTCCAGGGAAGTAGTAAAGTATTAAAAAAAATTAAAAAGAAACAAATAAGCTATACTATTAGTATGATCATTTCTATTCCATTTGTTTTTTGTTTTATTAGGCAATTGGGGTTAAGTGACTTGCCCAGGGTCACACAGCTAGTAAGTGTCAAATGTTTGGTCTGAGGCCAGATTTGAACTCAGGTCCTCCTGACTTTAGGGCTGGTGCTCTATCCACTGCACCACCTAGCTGCCCCTTATTCCATTTGTTAAAAGTAATTTTTTAAAAGTTTTCTGATGCTTTGTTTTTGCATTACATTATAAACATTACTCTGCTAGAGGTCTCTTGTAAAATAAAACTAATAATACGGTGACCTCGTCAGAATGTACAGGCAACATTTCACTTTTGTAGCACCCTCCTAACTATTAAAAAAAAAAACTGAAACAAACCAGAAATCTATTTTCTTTCTCTCCCATTCCCCACCCAGTAGAAAATAAAAACAAATTTCTTATAACAAATATGCATATTCAAGCAAAACAAATTCCCTCAATAGCTGTAGACAAAATTATATATTTCTTATTGTGTACCCTAAATCTATCACCTTCACTTGTCTGTAATGAATAGCATTTTTGTGTTCCAGAATCATTAATGGCCATTGTACTGATCTAGTTCTTACAGCTTTCAAAGTTATTTGTTTTTATAGTTTTGTTATCGTATAAATTGTTCTGGTTATGCTCATTTGATTCCCCATCAGTTTATAAAAGTCTTCATAATTGTTAGTTTTTATAATATTGATATTATAGTATAAATTGTTTTTGTTGAATTCACTTCACTCTGTATCAGTTCATTATATCTCTAGGATCATCTGTTTTTTTCATTTCTTATAGCACTATAGTATTCCGTCACATTCACATATTCACAAGACTTCTTCAGCCATTCCTCTTAGCCATAAAAAAAAAAACTCCAAACTTCTACTAACTAGAGAAATGCAAATTAAAGCAATTCTGGGATTCTACTTCATACCTATCAGTGTAGCAAAGATGATAAGAAATGTAAATTATAAGTGTTGGAGAGACTGTGGGAAAACAGGTATGTTGATGCACTATTGGTGGACCTGTGAATGGGTAAAATCATTCTGGAAAACAATGTGGAATACTACATAAAAGTAACTAAATAGCGGGTGCTCTTTGACCCACCATAGCTATACCACTGCTAGTTCTATATCCAAAAGGAATCCAAGAAAGAGGAAAAGGTCCTTTATGTACAAAAATATTTATAGCCACCTCTTTTTGTAATGGCAAAAAATTGAAAAGTATTCATATATGCATACGTAGACATATATACAAGGGTATCTAAAAGTCTTAGTGCAGTTTTAAGTTTTAGTAGCATTGGGTGCTTAGAATAGCACTAAGACTTTTGGGATACCCTGTAAAATATATATACATTATGTGTGTATGTATATGTAAATATGTATATGCATGTTTACATGTATATGTATAGATATATATACACATATCTATTTTTTTTTCCTGCTTCTTAGAGAGGCAATCAGGGTTAAGTGACTTGCCCAGGGTCACACAGCTAGTAAGTGTCAAGTATCTAAGGCTGGATTTGAACTCGGGTCCTTCTGACTCCAAGGTCAGAGCTCTATCCAGTGTGCCACCTAGCTGCCCCTACACATATCTATTATATCTTTATGTCTGTTCTGTGTTTGCCTACTTGGCCTAGAAAAGAAACAAAAATTTTGTCAACACTTGGATTTCCTTTATGATAAACCTGTCAGGAGCTTCTAATCTACAAGCTTTTAATCTACAATCCATCTTGCAAATTTACCCAGAATTAAGTTCTGTGATGAAACCTGTGGTCGTCAATAACAGACAATAGGTCTTATAGACTAGGCCAGTGGTGTGAAATAGAAACACAGCCACTAACCTATACAGAATGATCCTCGTGGACCACATATTGACTTATTTTAAAAATGTAATGTTATCTATGTTTTATTGTATTTTAAAAAAACATTGTTAAATATTTCCAAATTACATTTTAATCAGGTTCAGGTCAAAGGTCCTGTGTTTGACACCTCTGGTCTAGTCCATGATAGCAACAGCAACTTACATTCATATGTACTTTAAGGTTTACAAAGCACATTCCTTACAATAACTTTCTAAAGTAGATAGTGTTTTCAAAATTTATTATTATGTTTCAAAGTTTGTATTATTGTACCTATATTTCAGATGAGGCAACTAAGTTTCAGAAAAGTGAATCAACTTTACCAGGAGCACATAGCTAGAAATTGTCAGAGCCAGGATTTAAATCTATATGTACTCTAATCTTGAAGGACCATGTTCTTTCTATTTATACCACATCCCCTATTAAATTATCTCATATCATGTGTAGTGCTGAAAGATTTAAGAAACAAGCAAGGCTCCTGGAAGGATGACAAAAGTAATTCGTCTTGGAAAATAGATTGCTATGAATTTAGGAGGAATGTTTGTTCCTTACCCCATAACAGGTAAACTAGAACCAAATAAACTTTCATCAAGTTTACTATTTCTTTGCTTATTTTAAAATTTTTTCTGACCCGGTTCCCAAATTTGCTGAAGCATTACTTTGTGAATTGGTGTCAACGGAAACATGTTAAAAAGCTTTTATTTAACTACATTTCCAAAGCAATAATTTTTTAAATTTATATACTTTTTTCTACAATTTATCTTGCTAATCTTTCAATTTCTGTATTGTGTCATCAATCATTATGCATTTTATTTACTAGTTTTATGTCCAGTTAAACATTTAAAAAGTTAAATAATTTATGAATTACCTGGAGCTTGGCTGCACTCTCTGTAATTCATCTCAGTTTGCTTTAACTTTACTCTCATCTTTCATCACATGCTTTGGGATCTTTTATTCTCAAATGATATCATTCAGCTCCATCCACGGGTTATGGACTTACTCCTGGGTAATATGTATACAAACAATAGTAACACTAGTTACCTACAATTCAGGCTTAAAGCTCCAGTTTCTAATATTTTGATTCTGACAATGAGATTAAATCCAAAGACTAATTTTATTGCAAGATTGGCTAAAGAATTCAAAATACTCACTTGCTTTGATTGAGGCAACCTAGCAAAAAAAAAAGGGAGGGGAGGGGCTAGATTAATGAAAGAATTAAAAAACCACAACCAAAACCACAGCTCTATCATATTAATCTCATAAGAAATGTAAAAAAATTGTCTAATCTACTTCTCTAATTATGGTAGTATTATGGAGTTGTTTAATTGAAGGAGGAAGCTAACACTTTCCAGTCTCTGAACCTCACCCTTCTGTGGGTTGCACAAAGATTTCGTAGCTTCTTCCGAGAGTGACTCCCTTAGTCAACACTTCCTGCTGACCCTGGGTGGGGGATGGGACTCTTTCCTTGAACCTGCCTTAGGACAGCAAAAGGAAAGGAGTTGTCCTAGTCCATAGCTCGGAGAGAACTGATGCCGATGGTCTACATTGCTGTAAGGAAATGGATACCGATTCTTTAACCTCCACCCACCAGATTACTATTGACCTAATTTTGTACCTGGGTTCCTTTTTGGTCCAGATTATTTTAATCTTTTCTCTGTTTGGGTGAGTTATAATATTATCTATCAATGAAAATCTCTGGTTCGTCTTGAGTCTCCAGTTGGTAACTCCAACAATTGGAAAGAGAATCTCTTTCTCCCTCTCTTTGTTGCAGGGTAACCTTAGCCTCCAGCTCCGCCGTTTGTTTTTTTAATCCTCCCTGTCCCCATGGACACACACACATAGACACAGCCTTAGAGAAACTGGTTTCTTTTTTTGAAAGTATAGTCAAGAATGACTTTTTTTTTTTTAAGAGAAAAGGAATGGGGTTTAGGTTCAGTGAGAGTGCTTAATTGAAGACACAGGGAAACAGATGGAAGCAGCCATCATTATCCATTGGCTCCTGGTGATCTCTCATTGCTTAGCTATAGTTTTTTTCCTTTGTTGCATAGTAGCTTTGACTCTTATTGCCTGAAAGCCAGGCTTGTTATATTTCATCTTCCCCCCCCCCACCCGTACCCGTTCTCCGGTACCTGAAAGACCCTACCAATTGTGTCTCCCTAATTTTAGGAGTCTTAAGCATCCCAATTCCATTTAGCCATTTAACAGATTTGCTTTTATAAAGGAATATTTTCATTAGCAAAACACAAACATATTTCCCCATATTTCTTACATATTCCAAGTTCCTGCAATTTCACTCAAACACCACGTTTGTTGAGGAAGGACACGATGATCTCCACAATATAGGTGGTGAGGCAAAACTTAGATTTGAGTGCTATCTTGGTCTCCCTTCACTTCTCACTTTCTGCCACCTTCAGCGGGGGATTTGCTGAAGCTTCTCAGGCAATGCATTCTTTTTCTAGTTTCAGGGTGATCAGGATTCTATTAAGATTCCTGGGTTCAAGGATCCAAAGTACAGTTGGGCTCCTGAGATTATTGCAGTTGTGGCCACAGATGGTGCTCTCTGCTTTGTCCCCATTCACAAAAAAATCCTCACTTGATCCTTCCATCCCGGATAACTATAATCCTAGATCACTTCTATCCCTTGAGGATAAGCTCCTTAAAAAGACCATCTCCAATAGTGCCTCTTCTTTCTTCTCATTCTCTTACTATCCAGTTTCCAATTTATCATTCCACCGAAATTGCTCTCTCCAAAGCTATTAAAGATCTCTTAAGTGCCAAATCCAATGGCCTTTTCTTAGCTCTTGTTCTTCTCTCGATTTAGCTCTTTAGCACTGTTAATCACTCACCTCTCTTTTCTCTAGGTTTTCTTTCTCCTGGTTCTATTCCAACTTATTAGACTGCTTCTTCTCTGTCTCCTTTGCTGGATCCTCATCCACATCATGCCCTCTAACTATAGGTGCCCCACAGGGTTCTGTCCAGGGCCCTCTTCTCTTCTCCCTCTATACTACTTCACTTAATGATGTCATCAGTTACCATGGATCTATCATCTCCATGCTGATGACTTCTCAAATCTACCTATCCTGCCCTAACCTTTGCTGACCTCCAATTTCACATCAATTGCCCTTTTGATATCTTGAACTGGATGTCCATTAGACATCTTAAATTCAATATGTCTGAAATAGAACTTATTATCTTTCTCCCTAAACCCTCCCCCCTTTTCCTTTCCCTGTTACTGTCATGGGCAACAACATCTTCCGGGGGGGGGGGGGGGGGAACCTGCAGCCTCAAGGCCACATATGGCTCTCTATGTTCTCAAGTGGGACCCTTTGACTGAATCCAAACTTCACAGAACAAATCCCCTTAATAAAAGGATTTGTTCTGTAAAACTTGGACTCAGTCAAAAGGCTGCACCCAAGGACCTAGAAGGATACATGTGGCCTTGAGGCTGCAAGTTCCCCACCCCTGTCAGGCTTGCAACCTGTAATCCTTGACTCCTCACTGACTCTCACCCTCAATATCCAATCTGTTGCCAAGGCCTGTGATTTCATCTTTCCAATAGCTTCAAATATATTCCCTTCTCTCCTCTGACACTGCCAACATTCTGGTGCAGGGCCTCATCACTTCCCACCTGGACTACTGCAACAAGCCTGCTGATAGGTCTATCTGTGTAAAGTCTCTCCCTATTTCAATCTATCCTCCTTTCAGTGATTTTCCTAAAGTGTAGGTTCAACTGAATCACCTCCACCCCCACCCCACTTTAATAAATTCCTGTGGCTCTTTTTGACTCCAAGATCAAGTATAAAATGCTCTGGCATTCAAAGCTCTTTATAACCTAGCCCTCTCCTACCTTTCCAATATTCTTACAGTTTACTCCTCACCAAATACTCTTTGATCCAGTGGCATTGGACCACTTGCCCTTTCATGAACAAGACACTCCATCTCTCTCTGCTCCAGGCATTTTCTATGGCCCCATGCCTGGAATGCTTTCCCTCTCCATCTCTCTTGATTTACTTTAAGTCCCAAATAGAATCTCATCTTCTATAGCCTTTCCCAACCCCTCTAAATTTTAGTAGCTGCCCTTTTTTAATTACTTCCTATTTATAATACATATAGTTTGTTTGTACATATTTCTTTGCTTGTTGTCTCTTCCATTAGATTGTGAACTCCTTGATAGGCAGGGATTGTCTTTTGCTTCTTTTTCTTTCCCCAGAGCTTAGCACTGGAGCCTGGCACATAATAGGTGCTTAATAAATATTTATTGACTGACTGATTCCTTTTCTTCAATCCCACAGATACCCAGCTTGTCCTCTTTATACTGAGTGAGTCCTTTGCTGCAATAGCTGTACTTCTGAGTCTCTATCAAAGTCTTTGCTTTCTGATGCACCTTCTCTGCACCCAGACATATAATGCCCTGGGAAATTGACTCCTGGGAATTCCTTCATGAGCAATGTTTTCTAAGTCCTAAACATCATAAAAAATGAAGTCCTAGGGACTTCTCATCAGTCATACAAACTATAACACCAACAGAAAATAACTCAGAAACAGAATTCCTGTAAGAAGTTGAACTTGTTAAGGAAAACAACTATTTTCAATAAAGTATTCAAAACAACATGCTATTAACTACATAGATACTCTTTGCAAAATAACTTAAATATAGTGATTCAGTTTGAAGTGAAGTCAATAAATATTATATAGGTTAAAAATCTAACAGAAGAGTTCATAAAATATACTACTCTAATCTTTAGACCTACCACAGTCCTCTGCAGTTGTGAAATTCTGAGACTCTCATTTACTATTGGGTGATCTGGGGCTCATGGAGAGTTCCTCAATGCATCAAAATCTAGAAAAGGATTTAGGAGAAAGTTCCTACAAATATTAGAGTCAACAGGACATCAAAGCAATGTAGCTTAGCTGCAGAAGTTTATTTTTAAAGACACTGCATGGAGTGTTTAAGATTTACTGGAAGTATCCATGAACATTTAAATAGCTGATCAAATTCATAACTCATAAATGAATGTATGCATCACAGTCTTGTTTAAACCTGGCAAAAACCCCACAAAAACAAGTTCAAAGTAACAGCTGACACATAGCATTCTAAAGTTGCTTTAGAACTAACAAATATTTTATTTTATTGGCCTTTTTTTTTTAAATCCTAATCTTTCTTGACCTCTCTGCAGCATCTGTCACTGTTGATCACCTCCTTCTGGATACTCTCTCCTCTCTAAGTTTTTGTGTCTCTGCTCTCTTATTACTCCTTCTATCTGTCCAGTCACCCTTTCTTGATCTCCTTTGTTGATTCTTCATTGTGTTACACCGTTTAACCCAAGGCTCTGCCCTGGGCCCCCATTTCTTTTCACTCAATACTACTCATTTGATGAACTCATCAGCTCCCATTGTTTCAATTATCATGGCTATGCAGATGATTCCTGGATTTATAGATAGCCCTAGTGACTAGGGCCTAGTCTCTCTGCTGAGCTACAGTCACACATCTCCAATTATTTCTTGGATATCTCAACCTGTCTTGTAGGCCTCTCAAACTTGACACGTCCAAAACAGAACATATTATCTTTCCCTCCAAACATTCCACCTTTTTAAACTTCCCTGTTGCTGTTGAGGGCACCACTCCCCTCCCAGTCACCCCTAAGCCCAAAACCTCAGTGTCAATCTCAAGTCCTCACTCTCACTTGGTCTACATTGCCAAAACTTATCGTTTATAACATCTCTTGTATATCTCCCCTTCTCTTCAGTCATTCAGGCACAGCCCTAGTTTTGGCCCTCATAATATCAAACCTAAACTACTGCAATAGCCTTCAGACTGCTCTCTCTGTCTTGTTTCTCTCCACTCAAAATACATCCTCCACTCAGGTGTCAAGATGATTTTTCTAAAGAGTAGGTCTGACTATGTCTGCCTCTTGTTTAAGGAGCTTTGGTCATTCCCTATTACCTGCAGAATCAAATATAAATTCCTCTGTTCAGTGCTTAAAGCTCTTTATAACCTGGCCCCTTCCTAATCTTTCTAGCCTTCTACTGTGCTCTCCTGCATGCACTCTATGTTCCAGTTCCAGTAGCCTATTTGCAATTGTGTGAAAGTAGCATTCCATCTCCTCCACCCTTTCAACTTTGCCTTTAGTTTCCCTGACTTCCTTTAAGACTCAGGTCCAATCCTACTTTCTATACAAGGACTTTCCTGATTTCTGCCCCAACTCTCTCTAGCTACTAATGCTTCCCCTTTTCATATTACCTTTATATATTGTGTATATATCTTGTATGTACTTGGATGTTTACACATTGTCTCCCCTACTAGAATGTGTTCTATGTGAAGGCAGGGATTGTTATTTTTTTCCTTTGTATCTCCAGGGCTTAGCTCAGTGCCTGTAAATATTAAGTACTTAATAAATGCTGTTAATGAACTGACTGAATTGCTGTTATGTTTCCTATAATGTCTGGTATCTGTAGTTCCACCTCTTTTTATGTGTATAAAGGTATGGTTTTACTTCTTAGAATTTTGTAACTACAAGTGCTAACTTGTAGCTTCTATCCTGAAGAATATAAATGAATCAGTATTTCACACTACAGAATAGATATAAATATATATTATGTATATTATATATAATATGTTCTCTCTATATACTGTGGAAGTACCTCTGAGGTTAATATGTCTGTCTTCTGTGAGACCAGGCAGAACACTGGACAGAGCAAGCCTGTTTGCTGAAAGGAACCAATCTGGAACCTGCAGTGAGCCAAGGTCTTGCTCACTCCCAGATGCCTTTGCTGGTTGGTGTTAGATGACTAACCTTGCTGAGCTGTGCCCACCCCCACCCCCTAAACTGGCCCAAACCAGCCTTGTGGTCAATTGTTCTTGCAAAACATCCTGCTTCTACAGCTACCTGTTCTTAAGAAAGCTTGCCCATTCTTTTTCCCAACCCCTCCCTGAACCTCCCCTTTGTGGTTTTCAAGCATAAATCTCCCCTGCCTGTCCTGGGCTGTGGGCTCTTTTGTACCTTGTACATGGGGCCTCGGCACTAGTGTCTGATTTTCCTCCTAATAAAACTTTTCTGCTTTCAATGCAGCTTAGACTCTGCATTTTTTTTTTTTAAGAAGCTTTTTATTTTTATTGTTAGGATCCGGGTTGCTTGAGAGGGATGAAACGAAAGGAGTGGGTGGCTCCAATACCCGGCCGGCCGTGTTTCACAGGCTTGTAGGTGACAGAGAATTCTTCCAGGCAGCGTCCAATCCTCTCGGGCTTAATTTCTACCTGACTGAAGGTCTTGCCGTTATAGACGCCCACCATACTTCCCACCATCTCCAGCAGGATGATTGTATCCCGAAGGCGTGTCTTTACAACCTCGGGCTTTTCGACGGTGGGTGCAGGCGCTTCAGGAGAGAATGCTGTTTGCGCCGCAGACCCCTGTTGAGTCGCCGCCGCTGTTGAGCGCCGTACGACTGCATGAGCTGTTCATAAGACAGGTCCAGCAACTGATCCAGGTCCGCTCCGCGGCAGGTGAACTTCCAGAGGGTTCGCTGCTTCTTCTGCTCCACTTCCGCCATCTTGTCTGCTGTCAGGAAAAAAGTGGACTCCGCATTTTGAGAGGTGGACTTTACCTAGTTGACAATACATATATATCATAGGAGTTGGAGTATGCATGGAATGGGCCTATAGGTGCTATCTCCAGTAGCATGCACGTAGCACTCCATTGGAAAGTCACAAAGTAGCCTCCAAAACTGGACACATCCATCTCAGTATTCCTGTTTGGTCATCTGTATTTCAACTTTTTTTTTTTTGTGAGGCAATTGGGGTTAAGTGACTTGCCCAGGGTCACACAGCTAGTGTGTGTTATGTGCCTGAGGCTTTGAACTCAGGTCCTCCTGACTCCAGGGCCAGTGCTCTATCCACTGCACCGCCTCGCTGCCCCTGGTCATCTATATTTAGGAAAGAAATATAAAGCAGAAGAGGTAGTTTGTCAAGATCGAATCTCAAGCTCACCTGAGCAAGATGTGCTTTAGCTGCCATGTGTTCAGGACCTTCATAGCCCCTCCTCCAGGCAGGACAAGAAGAAAAGAGAGTGGTAGATGGTTAGTTATTTCCATTTAAAACTCCACTAAGCCATTTGCTCTTTTTGCTCAGTAGCCAATAAGAGGATTACTTCATCATCTCAAAGCACAGAACCCTTCAGCATTTCCATACCTATGCCTAAAGTCTCCAAAAGTTTCCCAGGGAAACTCTGGTATGACCTCTATTAGCCCATTTGCATATATACACCAATCCCTGCTGCATCTCTCTGTTATATGTATATATCCCACTAACACATTATTGGTAACTGTGTGAATTGGTCAGCTGTTCTGGGAAGCAATTTGGAACTATTTCAAAAGTCATTAAACTGTGCATACATGCCCTCTGATCTAGTGACAATACTACTAGGCCTACACTCCCAAAGAAATAAAAGAAAATTAAAAGGACTCATATGAACAAAATATGGGAGTAGCACTTTTTGGAGTGGCAAAGAATTTGAAACTAAGGGGGTCTCAACAAACCGGGAATGGCTGAACAAATTATGGTAAATTAATGTAATAGAATACTATAATGATAGAAATTACTATTTTGCTGTTATGTTAGTAATCAATTATTGAATTTGGATCTAGACCTTTTTTTTAATTTCCTCATTTAGGGCCCAGTCCCTACAGGTCAGTCTGTCTCTTAAGGCACCTGGCTGATTGATGAGATTATCCCTAACCCTTAGGTAACTGGCTCTTCAATCTTTGGCTGGACCCCACCCAACCAGGATGGGGTGGGAGGGATGACAGTATAAATAGAAAGTAGTCTGGGTGACTTCTTGCCCCAAGGAGAACAGTCCTGTCCTTGTAATTTTCCATTAGGGTGACCCAGCTCATGAAGGAAAACTCCAACCACAGAGTGGTTTGGGTGGAGATGGATTCCCCTGTACAAACTGCTGGAAGTGGCTGAGTCTCACGATCAAACCAAGTTCTCAGCAGGAGCTTGAAGATACCTAGTCCACAACCTCATTAAATATCCACCAATTAGGGATGATTTTCACTTGTTAGGGGCATTCTCTTTTACAAAGGTATTTCTAGCATTTAATGTCTCTACCGGGGGTCTTTTGTTAGTCACTGCTCATCAATTTATTAATTATTAGCTAGTCTAATTAATAAATTCATTCTTAATTACCCAGAAAATCTGTTTCTTGGGTTTTTCATTCATCACAGTAAGAAATGATGAGGAATATAATTTCAGAGACACCTGGAAACACTTGTAGAACTGATGAAAAGTGAAGTGAGTAGAATCAGAAAAATTCATACAATTACAATAATATTGTAAAGACAAACTCTGAAAGATATAAGAACTCCAACTGATGTAAAGATCAACCAGAATTCCAGAGGACTGATGATAAAGCACGCTACCCACCTCCTGACAGAGAGGTGATGGAATCAAGATGCAGAATAAGTCAAACATTTTTTGATATAGCTAACTGGGAAATAATCTCTTTAAAAAAAAAAAGAAATTGGAGGAGAAGTCCTTGGCAAAGGTGAGGGTAGTACATGGCATGAGAGGAAAGAAGAAATGAGAGTAGTGGCTGGGTTATCTTGAAAGGCTTTTTGGAAGAGGTGGGTATTGAACTGGATTTTTGAAGGCAGTGTAGGACTTACATAAACAGAGCAAAAAAAGAAGGGCATTCTAATATCCTGATTTAATTTATAGTCTATTATTGGTGGCTTATAATTTGACCAAGGCATCAGAATTTAGAGTAGAAAAAGAAAGTTGGCAATTTTTAAACTCTTGTTTCAACTTTGAGGGGCAAGAGGAGAAATATTTAGATAAGAAAAAACTTTCATATCTATAAAAGTTGTTTAAAAGTTGAATGTAGGGGCAGCTAGGCAGCTCAGTGGATACAGCACCGGCTCTGGGGTCAGGAGGACCTGAGTTCAAATCCGGCCTCAGACACGTAACACTTACTAGCTGTGTGACTCTGGGCAAGTCACTTAACCCCAATTGCCTTGCCAAAAAAAAAGAAAGTGGAATGTGATGCTTCGGGAAGTTCTGAGCTCCTCATCATTGGAGGGTTTTCGATCAACGTTGACTTGTATATATTCAAAATTAAATTCAAGTCATTGAAATGCCAAGTATACGGTTGCAGGATTCTCGTAGTATCGATTGGACTCTTAGAAAGAACCTCTAGTTTCCTTCAAAACTCAGCTCAAGCCTCACCTTCCACATGAAGCCTTTCACGATCCGTCGGCTGGTAGTGCCTTTCCTTCAAGTTATCTTATATTTATTGTGTGTGTATATATACACCTTTCCTCACTCTCCTTTTCCTTCTCCTCAAGTGTGTTCCAAATACGGGGAGCAACAACAGCCTGGGCAAAGGCACGGAGGCTGGAGATGGAATGCCAAGTTCCGAGAACAGCCTAGTCCAGTCTGGTGGGACTATAGAGAGCAAGAAGGGGAGTGGTGAAAAGGGGGCCCTGGAGAGGTAGGCCAGGGCCAGACTGAATTGAACAGGTCCATCCCCCACGAACATTAAAACGATGCCGTAAAAGTTCCGTTCTCCGGGGCTGCACAAACGCTTCCCTCCTCGGCTTCCGTAGGATCCCCAAGAGCCCAGAGAGATTCACCTTTCCAAGGCGGGCGCAGGGGCGGGGCAAGCCGTATCTCCTCCCCCTTCTCCGTCCCGCCCCTCCTCCTGGCCAATCCAAACCCGGCGTGGCGACGTCGACGTCGACGTCGTCCCGGTCTCGTGTTCCGAGGGTCAGCGGCGGCCGCGGCGGCTTGAAGAGCTCTGAGCTGCGGCGGGCACGGCCGGCTCTGGTGAGTTCCTTACGCGGTCAGTGCGTGTCCAGGCCTCGGACCCCGACCCTTTCTCGGTCTCAAGTTGGCCTTCTCTGGGGCTGGTGCGTCGGGCCAGGCGAAAGAAACACGGCACGGCGGGCGAGTCGGGGAGAGAGGGTCCCGGGCCCGGCGGCTGCCTACTCGCCTCCGACTGCTCCGGCGTCGCGGTCCAACGACCTCGGCGCGGCCACCGGACCAGGAGGGACCGCGCCGTCCCCGGGGTTGGGAGTCGAGGCCTCTAGACAGCCCGGCTCCCTGTTTGCCTAGGAAGAAGCCGCGGGCCATTGAACCCAGCCCTCTGCGGGGGCCGCCCTGCCAGGGTTCCAAGCCTGCGGGCGGGCTTGGAACTGCCAGAGTTGGTTTGGAGGCTTCCCTTGTTTTCCTGCGTAATATATGGAGCAAGGATTCCTTTTTCCGGGGTCCTAAGAAGCGTCCATGGGAAGATTTCAAGGACTCTTTGAGCTTGTATTGGAAAAAATATATATTTTTAACAGTGTCTAATTGAAGTGTAGCTTTTCCTTCTACTACGAACGTAAACTACAAAACTACGGTAGTGTTAAGACTACATCAGAATGTCAAAGGGACGCATGGCATAAAAATGTTAACCCCCTTGTCATAGTGGAAAACCCATATTACGAGTGTCTTTTAGTTTTGCTTTTTATGACTTCTTTTAAGAGACACATGTAAGCAATCAATCTGCTCAGGCTGGCTCTTTTTTTACTTTCTGGTGTGGAAGCTGAGGATCTGTTAATTGTTTGGGAAAATCTAGTTAAGAAAGAAGTAAAAAGTAAGTGAAAAAAGGTAGTGAAATTATAGGTAAATTATAGGAAATTTATAGGTAAAAACTAATTGGATGCATGTGCATTGGATGCACTTGATAGGAATTTTCAAAGTGTTTAGCCTAACGGGCAAACTGGAAAAAAAAAAAAAACGCTATGTGGGAATCATAAGCCTTTTCTGAATAAATAAATTGGGTGACTGGCTGAAATTTTTATTAACATTGCTTTAACTGGGGAGAAATAATTCTACATGATCTATTTAAATTTCAGTAGCACATTTGTTCTTGGATATTTGATCCCCTTGCAGATAAAATGTAGTAGTCTCCTCTAATTCTTGTCAGCCTTTTAATTTTGCTGTTCATGGATCTGTCCTCACCTCTTTTCTCTTTTCTCTCTGCTCTTTTTCTGTTGTAATTATAATCCATCTTTTTCAACTATTACCTCTACACAAATGACTTTGAAAATCTTTATCCCTATCCATACCTGTCGTCTGAGCATCAGACCCATGGCTTCTGTTAACCTGCAAGGCATTATCACCTGAATGTCTCATGGGTTCTCCAAATGCAACAGATTTAAAACAGAATTATTAACTTTTCCACAGAACTTCTGACTAAACTTTTCTTTGTACCACTACTCATCTGGTAATTCAGTTTTGGAAACTTTGCTTAATTTCGTCTTTGAGTTTTCCCTTTCATTCATTCATTCATTTGGTTGTCAAATCAAGTCCTTTCAGTTCTACCACTGACCTATCCTGGAGTCTGTAGCCTATTCCCACTGGTAGCATTCTAATATAATATCTTATTAACAATTGCCTTTTGCCATTTCATTCTAACAAGTCTTTCTACTCTGCCCCCCCCAAAACAAATAAACAAAAATCCTCTTTCACGCTACTGCAAGATTAATCTTCTTTATGCATAGAACTGGTCATAGGGGCTCTCTTTAGTGGCTCCCTTTCTACTCAGCTATTTCAGAGGGTCATAATTTGGAGCTAGAAGGGATTTTAGATCCTATCTAGACCAATCCCTTCAATTTTACTGAGACCCCAACAGATAAAGTCATTTACCCAAAGTTACACAGGTAGTAAATGCAAAGCTAGGTTTCAAGCTCAGGTTGTCTGTCTCTACATCAACAATCTTCCCTATGTACCACACTGCTTCTTTTAAGTCCTGATGCTTAAGCTTAGGATTCTGGCCCATCTACATTCTGGTGCTTTACTGAATGTCCTGCCTTGTTAGTATTACCTTAGATTACTCTCTTCCAAGAACTATCCCTCATGACTGAAATGTGCTCTTGCCTCTTGGAATCTTTATCTTTTTTCAAGTTTCAGCTCAGGTTCTATCTTCTCTGAGAAATTATTTTTGAACTGCCTGCTTGTTAGTGTGTTTTCCCGCAAATTACATTGTATTTATTAACTGCAAATACTGGATCTTTCTAGGAGAATATGAACTTTTTTACAGGATGGGAATGTATCTTAGCATGGTGTCTTACACTTATGCTTGTAGAACCAGGTTTTGAACACTGTACAGACAGTTTTCACTTTTAGGTAAGTGGGCCTTTCTGAAGAGCTCTTTGTAAAGAGATTTTTATTTAGTGCCAGTTTGCACAGAGACAGGAAATAGAGGGAGGCAAGAAGGGGATTGCCCCCTGGAGGGAAGGGGCAGCATAGGGTTCATTGATATGTCCAGCAGGGACAGGGAAGGGAGAGCAGCAGGAAGAATAGAGAGGGTGAGGGGGACAGCCATATGGGGGCCTGGCCTGAACAAAGAGGAAGAAGGGAGTGGGAGGGAGACACGTAAGATCTGGACCTGAACATAGAGAGGAGAACAGGAGAGGACAGACATGCGGTATCCTAGCATGTGCAGACAAGATAGACAGGTGGGTGAAGTAGGGCAGAGGTCTGTCTCATCATTGGGGGTAGTGGTGGTCTCTCAGCCTCTGGTCTTCTACTTTGACTTGGAGGATTTTTTGGGTGTTTTTTTTTTTAAGTTTTTTATATTTAAAAAATATTAATCCATTTAAAATAACAATAATAAACCCATTATATGTTAACAAAACATTTTTGTGAAAAGATAGCTATGTTTTTCCCCAAAAAATGAGTAGTAGCATTTCTTTGCATATTTTTGCCAATCTGTGTAGTATCTGGTTTAATAGAATATAGCTAAATTTTCATATCTAACATATCTCTTGTATATTTAATCTGTTGTGATTTGTTTTACTTAAAATATGTGGAAAAAAATCTGGCCTCACACATATGTACTTGGAAAAGAGAGCAGTATGTTAACAGGCAAATAACATCTTAGTATTACTGTAAAAATAGTTTTGGTCTCACAGACCTATTGAAAGGTCTTGGGAAACCCCAAGGGTTCTCAGACCACACTTTGAGGACCGTTGCTGCATTCACCCTTGATTTCTCAGTCTCTACTGGGTCCCTTCTCAGCCTTCAAATATGTATGTCTCCCTTTGATAATTACAATGAGGATCATAAGGATCAACATCCTTACTACATTAAGAAATAATAATAGTAAGCTTTAAGGGTTTTTTTTGGGGGGGGGGAGCCTTGGCAAACCAAGCTAAGCAGCAGGATCAGAGAGGAAGAGGAAGGGAGGGAGATAGAGGCAACATAGAGAAAGAGAGAACAAAGTTAACTTAGGTGTTTTTTTATAATGCAAATTTCAGATTCTTTTCCTAAAATTGAATTTATATGATGTGAATTTAAGTAAAGTGAGAACTGTCTGTATGTGCTATACTCTAACCAGCCAGACAACCTTATTCTTTCACTGTGTTGTTCTGCCTGTGTTCCTTTTCTTGTGCTTTTCCTGAACCCAGCTCTTCTATGCCTTATCTTCCCTGGGTCAGTAATAATGCCTTTTTTCTTGGTCCTTTCATAACATTTATTCAGTACCTTATAGGTATGTTGTTATGTCCTTTCACATAATGATCTTGCTGTCATCCATAAATGTGCCACCTCCATGTTCAAGAATTCCTAAGTCCAACAGCAATCTGTTGGCTTTTCATCTCTCCCTCTGCCTTCCCTTACAAGACCCTGCTTTTTGTTCATGCTGTGACCTTATATCTCTGGACCCCTCAGTCCTTTCCCAAGCCATTACCCTGCACTAGCCAGTTTCTTCTTTTCCCCACCTTGATCCCTTAGTGAACCAATTAAACACTACACTCTAGAATCTCTGGCCCCTTAATCATATTGCCACTTGTTCTCTGCCAAGCCTTATCCTTGGAATACCCCCATCCTCCTCTCCTACACACATGCTGTTGGATGAAGGTGGAGAAAATCACACAACTGTTCTGAGTTTATTACAAATTTATGTTATGAAACCTCAAGGTGGGCCCTCACTGCTTATCAACTAACTCTTTACTTTGACCCTTCTAAACCTTTTCATTTCTCCTTAAACCTTGCATGTCTCCTCCTTCCCCCACTCTCTTAGTTGAGAATCTTGACTCATATTGTACAGGAAAGACTGAGACCATTCTTCCTGAGCTCTCCGTTTTCTTCCTAATGTCATATCACTCATATGCTTGTTTTTTTTTGGCTAGGCAATGGGGTTAAGTGACTTGCCCAGGGTCACACAGCTAGCAAGTGTTAATGTGTCTGAGGACGGATTTGAACTCAGGTTCTCCTGAATCCAGGGCTGGTGCTCTATCCACTGCGCCACCTAGCTGCCCCATTCATATGCTTTCTACCACTGCCTTCTTCACCCTTGTGTCTTATGAAGAAGTGGTCTTACCCTTACTGAGGCTAACCCCTCTGCCTGCACAGGAGATCTCATTCCATCCTAATGCCTTTAACAGATCGCTGCCTCTGTCATACCCATTTTGTCACTTATTTTCAATCTCTCCCTGTGTCTTGGCTGCTAACCTACTGCCTACAAACATACTTACATCTTCTATTCTGGAAAAAAAAAACCAAACCCTCACCTGATTTTTCCGTCACCAATAACTAGCTCCTACATCTCTTCTTTCCTTTTTAGCTAAACTCCTTGAAAAGGTTATCTGCAATTGGTGCCTCCACTTTGTCTCCTCTTACTGTCCTTTTAACCCTTTACAATCCATTTTCCAACCTTATAGTACTGAAGCTGTTCTCTCCATCATTACCAATGATCGCTACCTCTTTTTTGGAGGCATTTAGTGTTAAGTGACTTGCTGAAGGTCACACACAACTAGTAAATATGGGAGGCTGGATTTGAA